AATATCAGATAGAAATATAAGTTCTTGGTAAAGTATACTACTCTTGATCATCACTAAAACCAAGCAGCCGAAAAAAATGTAGAAATAATATGTTAGCATTGTATAAGCCAACATTTTGTTGAAATGGGATCTTGCGATAATCCATCAGTTAATTTGCCAGTACTCTCGGCTCTGCCCTGCTGAAGAGACAACTCTTCTCATCGAACTTATGATCAACTTATGGTATTTTTCATAACCAATGGTTTGGCTATAATTAAAGTCAATGTACAATTGTATCCCTATAGCGTAAACAGAAATTAATCAAGTATGCTGTTACTTGGTTACTGTTACAATCTATGTGATGGATTTTAACGTTGTACGTAGGTAGTCTCGAACGGAGCGCTGCACTGATAACTGTGAATTAGCTTTAAATTCGTTAATCGAATCACACAAGATTACTTGACTTTGGAATTAAAATTTCTTACGTAGATGTTGTATTAGGAAGAACATAAAAGTTGTTTATTTTATCGTCTAAAGACATTAATTCCTCTTATTATAAAATATAACAGTAATATTGCATTGCCTGTATCTGGTAAATTTTCAGGCAACTTCTGGTTCTTCAATTCGTAATTATATAGCATTGAATAATATTAAAGAATAATGACATTCATCTATCTATACATATGTGACGTATAGATAGATGTCTAATAAGTACTCTATAATAGTATACCACTAATCTATATAACCTACAGATGAATATAAATTAATAGATGACGTATCAATAATGCAAGGAAAAATATTTAAAATTCAAACGTTGATTCATTTCTTTATTAGACCTTATATTTTTAAACAAATTTTCTCAGTTCTACAAATTTAATATTTTTAACAACCATATATTATATTGACAAAGGATAGGAGTTCTGGAGCCCAAAGAAAAGTAATCGCTGCTTGCTTTCATGAAAGCTGTCGTTTACAAATATTACTTCATTACATCTTAACAAATATTGATGCATGTATACTTACGTAATTGTTCCTGGAAGTATTGCCAGGGGTACTGGTACACTACTGAGCACTGAGCACTGAACACAGCAGCGAAGCGGCGAGGCACTGAGCAATTTTAAAAAAGAAAAACTCATGCGAAAACATATGTCAATAATTGCACGAAAGAAAAATGGTGGTTTACAATATTGACAAGATAAATGGTTATGAAGTGCTTGAACAGTGAAGATATATGTGTGTAAAGGGCTTCACACACACAAAATAGAAATTTTATTTCAAATTCTTTTATACAATTTAATTTAGAAATGTTTAATAAATAAAGTCTAACACATTTCGTGCATTTCCTACTGGTTACCTCGCAACAAAAAGCGAATTCATGATTAATCACCGGAAATCCTGAAACGTTACGTTTATTGTTAATTTATCAATTTTAATAAAAATTAAAAATGTTTCAAAATTTGTGGTTTGAATTGTCCTGAACGTGTTCAACTGCACAAATAAAAACCCGTCACCATATTAGCCGCAGCCTCGGTGAATGCAAACAAACAAAAAGCAATATTTTCACACAGGATATTCAGGATGTTTTTTCCTTTTTTTGATCCTTTGCAACAAAAACGACCTCATAGGTCAAAAATTACAAGCAAAGTAAAAACACAAGTTCGTGTCAAATGCCAAAACTTGAATGTAAAACAATGGGAAAGGATATCAGAGGCTGCACGTTAACATATTGAACACAGGCGAAATATTATAACAACAACAACAAAGCAAAATATTTTCCCTTTTTTCTACAAAATTTATGGCAAATGGCAGGATTCTCTTATATAAATTTAATTGCCTACAAACATGAAAGCAATGTTTGGGTTTTTGCTGGTGAAGCCATGTTTAGGCTGAGGCATTTTAAGTTGAATTGTTTTAAAATTTATTTTGTTGCGAAATATAAAATAAAAATAAAAATAATATAAAATTATGCCAAAATGTACAGCATGTTCCGATTAATTCGAGGTGAAGTATTGAAGAGGGTTAAACAGTGTCATTATTGGCAAAATAGAGCCTTTGTATGCGATTCAGAAGAAATAGTTACTTGATAAAAAATAAAAGACTTGATATAAAATTGAGGGAAAAAACTAAGAAAATAACAAATAAATTTGAAGTGGGATAATTTGTGTCACAATAATAGGCCATTAAAATCAAATACAATCGAAACTTAACAGCCCTCAGCAACAATTTTATCCTTGATCTTATACTATTAAAATTTATGTCATGTTATGTTAATAAATATTTATTTATTTAAAAATAGTTGGATTCCATTTCACTTTAAAAATATATAATAAAATTCTAACTTTCTTTAACTAATTAATTTATGTTACGCTTTAAATTAAACTTATCGAACTACTTTAGTATAACTCTACACGGATTATGTATTAATAATAGCACATATTGTTACACATTTTTCCAGTTAAATACATTAGTATAAAGATAGCATTATATAGTAAACCAATCGAATATATTTTCTAATCGAAAATATAGAAAAGGGTTCATAAGATTTAATATTGAAACAGCAAATATATTAGAAGAATCAATGAAGTATCAATGAAGTAGAAAGAATATATATCTTTTTCTGCGACTACTACATCTGAATAAACCATGCGTTGTACAAGTTTAATCACAACAGTGACATTGTTCCATCAATTAACATAGTGTAATACTACAGGATTGCAATGTAATACGACAGTATCTCCATGTAATACGTTTAATGTAGTTGTAGTATAACAATAGAGGAATTTGAGTATTCTCTTAGGTCTCCAGCCGCTTATGGTGTCCTTTCAGCAGTTATGCCGTATAGGATAGCGCTCTCTTCAGTTAATTTAAAAGAAAACAAGTGTGATCTTTCAATCTAGATTTGAATGTCTGTTTGATACAGTAAAGTACATTGTACTAACAATGTTTTGTATTTCTTACCTATATACTAAATATAACCAATCAGTACGTGGGTTACTCCCTTATCATTATTATTTTAATATTTAAAATAATTCTTTACTATTCTAACATATTCATAGTAAGAAATGTTTAACTATTTAATAATTAGATTTTATATTTAAATATTTATAATAAATGCATTACCCCTTTTTAAAGAGCCTTCACTTGGTTGTTAATAATAATGTTAATGAAAAATAAGGGTTTGTCAAGAACGGTATTTGAAACAATAGTTGAAGATGAAGTAGATGTGGACACAGTAGTGGCGCCTGATTAGGAAGCTGTATATGGCAAAAACTGAACACGGGTCGTTAAATTTAATTAAGTAAATAATTAATACTTCAAAAGAAATCAACAATACCAATAGTCAGATATGTCAAAAGTTTGACAAAATAATTCTACTATAAAGCATTCGTATATAATAAGGTTCCCAATTACTAGACTAAAGCATTTGAGTTACAATTTTATGTACTGGCAACCTTTGTAGCTATCATTCAGTATTTCTAGTAGTCACTACCGTGTATTGTGGATTATTTAAAAAAAGAACAATTTAGTTCAATTTAGTTTAAATTCACAGCCATTAGAATATTATTAAATTTACTATTGTAAACAATGAATTAAATTTACATTTCGTAGCTTTTAGAAGCGATAAAATTTCAAATTTGCTTCTTGATGCTGCTTGAAGTAAAAAAATTCAATTTGATTTCACATTAAATATAAATTAACTGTTGACAGTCAAGTGTCTTGAAAAGATTGCTTTCAAACCATGGTAAATTGGTGACATATCCCAACGGTGCCCCTGCGAACACACGTGAATAAACAAATGGTTGATTGGACCGAACTCAGTTGCAATAAGGAATCAATTTGGAGTGTTGTACTGAAAATGGTGACATTTAAAAAATAAAAAAAAGAAATTCTCTGGATATTGAAAATAACACTCGAAATTTGGCACTAACGTTTTTAGCATATATTCTCTTCGTTATTCGTTGCTTCAGTGAAATTTCAAACAAATCCTGTTCACACGATGAGTTTAAAAGAATGGATTTAATAGTTGAAAAGATAAGATTTATAGAATTTCCATAAAAATATTTCCATTTTAGTGACATTTTAATATACATTTTAATAAATGCTTAAAAGAAAAGAAAAATTACACGCTTTAGGACTAAAGAAAAAGTCAAATATAGTGGAATTTTCATAGTGGATTTTATTCGTAGAATTGCAAAATTATGTTGTCATCATAAGAACAATAAAATTACTCAAATAAAAATTAACAAAATAAACAAATTGACAAAAAAGATATGCGGTTATTATCCTTTAATGACGGAATACACAACACATTGAGGAACTGAGTTGGCGAAAGTATATTGAAATGCGCGCACGGGATTCAATTTGGTCCTCTTTGTTCCTAAAAATATGAGGCACATACACACGATAATGCACACGCTGATATGTGTTATGTTTATGATTATATGACTATTAGAGCCTTAATGTTCATTTGCTGGCACACAAGCGTGTATCAGAAACACACGGAGTGTTGCTGGCTCAGTGCGTATAAATATCACTCATACGTCATGCATATTTACAGATTTCGATGTGCCTGCTTTCGCTCTGATGACAAAAGTTTTTATGTTTCCATGTAACAAAAGTTGTATAATTTCTCGGTTTGTCACATCATCAAAAGTTTATTTATGTATCTGTTTGCTAAAAGTGTCATTAGTTATTTAACACTGAATACAATAACGTGGTTAATATCTTTTATGCTTTAGCTGAATGAAAATTTAAGCTCATATCAAGTCAGGCAAAAATAAACCCGGCGAACATATATGATATAAATACATTAACACATTAGAAAACCATTAACCTTTTGAGAGATTTGTAAATATTTAGTGGATATTAATAAATTGAAGAAAGAAATAAAGAAAATTTGAAGTGTCGAAATATTGCAATATAAATAAATCAAAGGTATTGATGTGTATGGTAATTCTAAATTAACTGATTTCGGCACAGTCATTAATTTTTAAAACCTCTTTAAAATCTCTTTACAAATTATGGTTTCTGGTTCTGATTTAGCAGAACCACGAAATTTTTATCCAAGGCATTGTTTGTTTAGTTTAAGGTTATCGTTTGATGATATGGATGGTTTTTGAACTTTAACACGTGGAAATTGGAAAAAGAGGAATGGTAACGATTCTTCATGTCCCATTTGTTTTTTTTGTGAGAAGATCAGTGTTTAATTAGCAAACATTTGCCAGATAATGGTCAAAAATTTTTTTATGTATGAGAAAGCATCGAAAATCAGCTCACGATGTAGTACTGTAATTAATATATGAATATATGAATACGAGGTTATATGAATTAAGTACTTCACACTTGATGGTAAGGTCCAAAACATTCAACTGTGTTTTTTTTATATGTACATTGACAGATACTTATATTATTGTGCAGTTTTCTAAAAGACTAGACATAAAACACATACAGAAATATTTGTGAATAGTTTAAAATCGGATCTTTTGCCATTTTCAATATCAATTTGAGACCATTATTTATTTTCTGTGTTAATCCGTATTCAAATCATATTTTTTCAATAAAACTTTTGAGTTGTAGAAAAATATAAAAAGTTTTAGTAACTAGAATTCTTATCTTTTTATATTTTATTTTAATTTTTATTTTTGCGTAACGCCACATTTATGTGTGCTTACACTTTTAAAATTCATAAAATTTTATTAAAATTATGCAGAAAAACGTAAGTGCAAACACAATTGCACTTCAGGGAGTTGAAAACATTATCTGCAGGCTTTGGTGCTTCTAAGTATGGCTTCGGTTACACTGAAAGTTTGGCGCTGCATAAATTGCAAAACATTCGCCATTTTTTAATTGTAGCGATTTCGAGGTGTTATCCTTTGCATTAATCAACTCTGTTTTCTCCAATTTCTCCAAAGCACGTCTTACTGAAAGTAATTGCTTCAACTGAAATGTCAGCCATTGCACTTTGCACCTTCTTTCACAACCTGTGTCTGCATTTTATTGTGAAACATTTCCATTGCTGTTTCAGTTAGTTAGCTTGTAACTCGGTCTGAATCCTCGTTCTTATTTTCATCAACACGTATGCGAATTTTTGAGAAAACTTTACACTTTGGTGGGAACGTGTTTCGGTTGATTTATTTAAATGTTTTCAGTTAAAAGAATTAATCATTCATTTTTATTGAACCTCTAGAATATTTGTAAAATTTTGTATAATTAAATCAATTAAAACGAATGCCTATTTTCTAAAATTTACCAATATTATACTCCTACACTCGTCTCTACTTAACTCAAATTATTTTTATTCCAAACATACCACAATCCATCAACATACTTGAACTGCAATGCTTATCCATATTCAATATCTACATGGAAACTAAATATGCCCACAAATATAAATTCTCTAAGGATTCTATAAAGTAGGCATTTATGATATCATAAACAAATTTAAGAAAGAGTATGTAATCCTCATCAGTTCTCCGCCAGTGCAGAATATGAACATAAATTTATTTATTGAATGATATTTGCTAGAAAAAATTGATGGCAAGTTGGACAAATACAAATGAGGTTACAAATGAAGTATAAATATTTATCTCACAATGAAATTTTTACCATTTAAAGTAGCAAAGTAAACCTTTGTATTTCATATTAACTTAGCATTTTCAAGAATTTAATCCTGTCTAATAAAGGCACTTAATTACTATTTCGGATTCGCTGGAAGAGTGTTTAAGTGGTGCAAGGCACTATTTTTCACTAGAATACCAAAAGTCACGTAACGAACAACGGCTTCAAATATTTCAGAAACCTTGTGTGGCTTTTTTGAGTAGCGATTTATATTTATAAGATTATTATACACCCATTCTTCCGATGTGAACAGCATTTGTGGTAAAAAGAAATTTAGCGGAATAAATCGAAAAGACTGAAATGATGGCATATGTTTAAAATATAAGAGAGGATTAAGAGACTTTATATATAATCGCCGTTTAAAATAACTATAAAAGATTTTAAGCCAAATAAATATCATTTTCAGTTTGATTTTAAATTAACTAACAAAAATATTAATAAACCAACGTCAAGACAAATTATTT